TGGACATTGCTGCTATAAACATCGGGGTGCACGTACCCCTTCGAATCCCTACTTTTGTATCTTTGGGGTAAATGCCCAGTAGTAGAGCCTTCATTTTTGATTGCACTTCATTAATAGGCTTTTGATTTTGACTTGTTTAGATTTAGTTCTTTTATTTCTCCAGAAAGTGTTTCTCTAGTATCTTCCATGCTTTTTTCAAGCCCAGCTAGTATCTTTATAATCGTCATTCTGAACTCTAGTTCTGACATCTTACTAATGTCTGTATTGATTAGGTCCCTGGCAGTTGGTACTGCCTCTTGTTCTTTTTTTTTTTTAAGGTGAGTTTTTCCGTCTTGTCATTTTGTCCAGAGGAGAATAGATGAATGAGAGAACAAAATGCTAACAGGGTAACAATGACCCCAGAAAAATATGCACTGGTAAGAACTCTGAAGCCCAGATGCTCTCCTCGGAAAATTCAAGATTCAGATTCTGATGATGCCACAGACTGCACCCACGCTCCACTAATCACCTTTCTGTCTCTGTTACCTTATTCTGGACTTTCATATGAATGGAATATAATATGTGATCTTTCATGACTGGCTTATTTCACTTAGCATGGTATTTCAAGATTCATCCATGTTGTAGCATTCATCCATGTCAATATTTCATTCCATTTCATGGCAGCATAATATTCCATTGTATGGATGGACCACATTTTGTTTATCTTTTGATGGATATTTGGGTTATTTCCATCTTTTGGCTGCTGTTGATAATATCACTACAAATATTTGGGTATAAGTTTCTGTGTGGGCATCTGTTCTCATTTCTCTTGGGTATATACCAAAAGTAGAATTGCCGAGTCATATGGTAACTTTAAGTTTATTCATTTCAGGAAATGCCAAGCAGTTTTCCAAAGTGGCTGCACCATTTTCCTTTCTTGCCAGCTGTGTATGACAGTTCCAATTTCTCCACATCTTCATCAACCCTTGTTGATCTGACTTTTTGAATTAGCCATACTAGTGGGTGTGAGCTCATGAGGATTTGGAAGGATTTGGAGAGGATTTTCCCTTTCTAGTAGTTTCTAAATCCATTATATATACTTATATATATAAATGTATGTAAGTATATGTAACTTAAATGCATAAATATATAAAACACTTTTAAGTGTAGTGTCTGTAAAAGTATGACTGCTAAGATGTCCTATTGCCTATCACAGTAATAAAGGATATTTCAATATTTCCTCATCCAAAATTCTTACTGCTCAAAACCAATGCGGGAAACTTTAGTAATGTGTGAGGTAAGGGAACGAAAGGGGATGGGTGGAAAAGTGGGAACAGGTGGTGTATTTTTCAGGAGCAGGAGATTGCTCCATTGCTTATCTCTGTGTCTGATGGCTCCCTCTGTCTTTCAGGAGGACTGGCGTTGGCCCACGTGCTCTTCTTTTATCTGAAGTACTTGGTGCTCTTCGGTGTCCCAGCTCTACTCATGCGCCTGGATGGACTCACGCCGCCGCCCCTCCCTCGCTGTGTGAGCACCATGTTCAGTTTCACTGGCATGTGGAGGTCAGTAGTTTGGTTTATTAAAGCCCTCTGGGGATGTCCAGTGGGAGGAGCCATGGCTTGGCGAGCGTCAAAGGGTTTGGGCCACCGTCCTTTCTCTGTCCCTCACTCAAGCCACGTTTGGCACTTGGGTGTCTTCATCTGTCTAATAGGATGACAATCTGTGCTTTCTGAACTGCTCAAAATTACTGCCAGGCTGTGAAGATATGTGAGATAAGAAAATTTCTCTCCAGGTCTTTGTACTATGCACATAGGGTGATGTGTAAATGGTTTCTTACTAACTTGGGATATGCTGCAATGTATTATTTTATTGCTCTCTGTTTTTCTTGAAAATGATCTCTGTATATGTGGGACTGTCAATTAAAAACAATAGAATTAGGATAATAGCATAAGTCCCTGTTGGCATTTACTAGCTCCCAGATCTGGGACAATTTAATAAATTTCTCTAAGTTTCAGTTTTCTTCTCTCTTAAATGGCAATAATAATAGTGAGGGTGATAATACCCATATTCAGGAATTGTTTTGAATATTAAATAAGCTGATGCATTTAAGGCATTTGGCATGTTGTAGATGTTTACAAATGTTAGCTTTTTATCCTTTTATTATTCCTATATCTCGTGCACATGGATAGACAGATGTGTTTTCTGAGTTTTCTTACTCTTCTTGATTTTGCCCCATAAATATATGGCTGGCCTGGAGCTTTTGTTCCAAAAGATCCCTCAGCCCCTCTGCTGTTTCTGCTTGTTGTTCTCCAGATGGGCTTGCTTGCTGCTGTGTGTTTCTTATCACTTCCAGTATGTAACAAGTGACAGGGCTTGCTTTTGCAGTTGCACACCTAATGGAGGAAGCTCAGCCTAGGTACCTGCACAGTGATGGGGGTCAGCATGTCTTAGACACCTCCATTTCCTCCACCCCAGCGTCAGCCCTGCTCAGAGTTGCTGTTCTGGCCCATTCACATGGCACCTTTGGCCTTATATTTCATCTCTGTAGGCAGAAGAGCCAGGACCAGGTAGAGGAAGAGCTCAGTGAATATTACCATATCTAATGTTGCTATAAAAAAGGGCTGGATAGCCTGCAACATTCTAGTTTTCCATAGCAACTCATTATAGATGGTGAATTAAAAGCCTCTGTAAATACATTTTCTTATTGGTTCAGTTTGCTTCTTGGGATTAGAAATTTCATATGGTTATTGCAAGTAATGTTAGATAATTGCTTTGATTTGTCCTTAATTACTTCATCAAATATCATAGGTTGCCTAGTTTTAATGGCAGGCTTGGAGAATGCTAGCAAAGGGGTTCTTTCTAGCCAGGGAGACACAGGGTGGTTCTTGGTTAAAAGATGAACCTGGTTGGGAGGCTCTGTTAACTTTCGACCTACTCATAAAATTAATTTACTGAGTAAATGGGTTGGGACCCAGCATGATTTGGGGTCATGTCACTGGTGACTGGTGTGCACCTAGCATGGTTCCTCTGCCTCCTTGTGAATGCTTGCCCTAATGCAGTTCTTAGGAAGCATATTCTCCTAAAAGGCTTCTCGTGTCAGTTGGTGTGATGAAAACCCATGACTCTTGGGCAGGCATGCTGGTCCCAGGCTCTTTGTCCATAGATCTCAGCCCATTGATTGTCACAGGAGGCGGTTTAGACTGTTGGCTGTATTTCACATTCAGAGTAGTTGTCGTCTTCTCCTTTACTAATTAATTATTTTTTGGTCAGTACCCTCTGTTGTCTATACACAGCAAAGGCAGAGAGAGCATATCTGCCAAGTCCTTTGTCATTTCGATTAGAACTAGACTCAGATGGTGTAGACTCCAGTTAAAGTTTTAAGACAGATGTGGGTGAGAGGGTCATAAAAGTTGCTGTGAGCTAGAAGCTCTAGGGTGAGCCCTGGGAGTGAGGCGGCCCTAGGGGAAGTGTTTACGAGAGCGTGTGACAGAATGACAAACATGGTCTTTCCTGGGGGTGACCTAGACTTTTATCCTGGCCTTTTTTTTTTTTTTCCAGCTTACATGGGTGTAGATTTTCCCCTTCACAGTTTTTAGTTTGCTGAAGGGTTTTCCAGTTTGCCAGTTACACTTAGAAACACCTTGGTCTTTGTTGTTTGTACACAATGAGCGTTCCACATTAAGTAGTTGAATTTAGGAAAGGAGGTCAACTCTGTGCTACAGTGCACAACTTAAGGCTCCAAAGAAGTAGTTTTGAATTGAAAAAATAAAAATTATAGCTTCTCTTTTACACTGTTTGCAGATATTCCTCCATCCTTCAGAGGAAGTTTACCATGTTCCCATTCAGGATCTGGTAGCCTGATCCTACAGCGGCCCTGGTCCCCACTCTCTAACTTTTCTCTGTGAAATGCACGTTGAGGGAAAATAAAGTTTTGAATTTGTAGTTTCTGTTTACATCTAGCTTTACATTAATAATTCTAGGTCATCTGTCGAGGTCTTGCTGCAGCCAGGGAATTGTCTCCTCTTCCTGGATATAGGTCCGGGAAGAACTGAGTCATGAACAGATGTGAAAGGGGACCGTGCCCACCCATTATTCTGAGCAGTGGCAGCCAGTCATCCAGTGACACAAAGGGAACGGCGGATGGGAAGTGGAGGGAAGAAATTTAAAAATAGTCTTCGCAGATTATCTAGTGGTTACCTGACCTTCTAGAAAGTCAACACTGAATGAGGTTTGTTTGTTTATTTATTTGAGAGAGAGTGGCAAGAGGGAGCACAAGCCAGGGGAGGGGCAGAGGGAGAAGGAGAAGCAGCTTCCCCGCTGAGCAGGGAGCCCGATGTGGGGCTCAATCCCAGGACCCGGGGATCATGACCTGAGTCGAAGGCAGATGCTTAATCGACTGAGCCACCCAGGTGCCCCCTGAGTGAGGTTTCGAACTGATGATGAGAGGTGAATTTTTAGCCTCCCATTTTGTTTTTTTTAAAATATTTATTTATTTATTTATTTGAGAGCAAGAGAGCACAAGCAGGGGGAGGGGCAGAGGGAGAGGGAGAAGCAGGCTCCCCGCTGAGCAGGGAGCCCGATGTGGGGCTCAATCCCAGGACCCGGGGATCATGACCTGAGTCGAAGGCAGATGCTTAACTGACTGAGCCACCCAGGCGCCCCTAGCCTCCCATTTTAAAGGCAGCTTACACACCTGAACACCATGCTGACTGATTGTAGCATATTTCAGTCCACTTAACAGTGAGAGAAGACTTGAAGCCAGCAGCCTACTGTATCAGAGGAATCTGAGCTCTACATCATAGAACAGATGAAATTGGCCATCAGCAGAGAGATAATGTTCCTTGACCTGCTAGTTCAAATTGGTCATGAACAATTGCTATTCACCCAGATGGCCCGGACCTGAAAGTTAGGACCTGATGGGTTTGTTTATTTATTTATTTTTTCCCTTCTAGCTCTTTTCTTTCATTTAATTCCTGCTCAGATATTTGCGTGATAACAAAACCCTAAGGAGTATGTGTATTCCCACTTGTGTGATTTTTCTGTGGCCTTATAGACCTGAGAAATTGAGAATTTTCTGCTTAATTTTTAGGTTTCATGTTTTAATTTAGGTAGGCTGAGATCTGTAATGAGCATCTTTTGCCGGGAGTCATTAAAGATGACATTGCCTGTCCGAGGTTTCAAATTAGAAGTCTGATCATGTTCCCTCTGATTTGATCTTTAGCTATGGAAGCAAAGTGTGCAAAGTGATAGAATTTTCCGTGGCGGCTGGTGAGTTATGGGTCAATTTCAGTTATCTCAGGAATCTCGCACAGCTTGCCCTCTGCCTTTCTTGAATTATGATGCTCTCAGGTCTTCATAGGCGAACTCACGCATCACAGCTTAACCCAGAGAAATTTGGGCACTGCTAGACCTTAACGTGTGGGGACATTTTGGGGTTGGGGCTGGGGAGGAGCCTGATCCTCTTCTTTCAGTGGGGAGTTGATTGCATGAACTTTTAGGTCAACAGAAGAATTTAGGGTCCTAGATGGAGAGTTGGTCCAGGCCTGTGGTAGATGATGAAAACTAGCTCTACAAACTGCTGGCTTTATATTTGTCCTGCCTCTGAATCAGGTCTGACCTCAGGCTGCAGGACAGGATGATGAGCCTGGAGTCGGTCAAGTACACACCACGTCTACCGGCACTGCTGGGGGGGCAGTGGGGGCAGCGTGAACGTAACGGGGAAAAGATTAGAACGGATGCCATTAATAAACGTTCCCTGTTTTTGCAGGCCGCCTGCTAACCAACAGCTTGCCCCTTACTAGCTGTGTGATTTGGCCAAATAATTAAAATGCTCTGGGCTAACCTTTTCATTTCTAAAGTAGACATAATAATAGCACTTGCTGCCTGGGGCGATGTGAGGGTTGATGAGCCTAGTGTTTAGTAGGTCCTCGGGAAGGGGTAGCTTCTAAGTTTTTGTTTGAAAATCTAGCAAAGCCAGAGGTGACTGTGAAATCAGCCTGTGGGAGGGTGGTGTTGGGGAAGCAGTGGGCAGTGATGAGACTGGCCGAGGAAAGGCACTAGTCCAGCTCTGAGCCTGAGATGCGACATCTGAGAGAGAAAGGCTGTGGTGGAGAAGTCACGGGCTCTGTGCCCTCGGAGGAGAGAGCTCGATCCAGTCGATTCTGCCTCAGTTTTCTCTACTGTTGAATGGAAGAAAGACTCTTATCATTAGATGATGTCTATATTCCCTTCCAGTTCTGTGTTAACATGAGCCCCAGCCACACTGGGTGGGGATGACCACCAGTCCCTGGTGGTGGAGTCCTGTCTCCTTCACTACCCATGTAATGGGGCAGAAAGTCATTTAACCTCTTTTTTTTTTTTTTTTTAAGATTTTTTGTTTATTTATTTGAGAGAGAGAATGAGATAGAGAGAGAGCATGAGAGGGGGGAGGGTCAGAGGGAGAAGCAGACTCCCCACTGAACAGGGAGCCCGATGTGGGACTCGATCCCGGGACTCCAGGATCATGACCTGAGCCGAAGGCAGTCGCTTAACCGACTGAGCCACCCAGGCGCCCTGTCATTTAACCTCTTAATGCTTCCCTTTTCTGAGGCATTAGAATAAAGCTCATCCTAGGACTTGCCTCCCCAGGTTGTCGCGAGGGGTCAGTGAGACCAGTGCTAATGCGGGAGCACAGGGCAGGCGCACTGTAGACACCACGATGTGAGCCATAATGGTAATTACAGGTGGGCAAGTGAACTTCATACCGTGTGTTTTTTTAATTTCCCAGAAAAGATAGGCCCGATAGCATGGGTGGTGGAGGGAGGTGGAAGGTGGTCTTAGAGATGGGTGGTAATATATGGAGGGCACGGATTTCAGAAGTAAAGCACGGGTCCCTGTGATCTGCACTGATCTGACCTCTCCCTCACCTTTAGAGGGTTCTTTCAGCATACAGTATCTGGCTACTAGACATTTGTGTCACCTCACATCTTGTCCTTCTGTCTTATCCCATCTCAACAGACTCAGAGAACATATTTCCTTTCCCCAACAGTTATATTTCAAAATCCCTTTACCTTTTCCTCTAAACACAGACTTCCATAAATCAGAGTGGAGTACCAAGTTGAAGCAGATTTTATGAATCATCATTACGTTTGGGTTCCTGGATTTATTTTGACTTCAAAGATAGATACTCTGCTCTGCTCTCCATTTCCTCCCTCTCTGGAGGATGTTTTCAGTGCACGTATTACTGAGCAAACTTGCAGACTGGAGGCTTTTAGAGTAAGCAGCACACTGGCCCAAGAAACACCAGGGCATCTTCTACTGGAGAGCCTTCCGGCTCTTTGAGAGCCCAGATTTGGAGCCTGACTGCGTGGCTTTGAATACTGGCTCTACTACTTATTATCCAGTGACCTCTCTGTGCCTCAGTTTCCTTCTCTGGAAAATGGAGCTGTGACTGTGCCCACCTCTGGGAGCTGACAGCCCGAGTCACACGGCGCAGGAGGCATCCATTCAGACTCTGATATGAGAGAGGAGCTGTTTGTCTTTGGGGACAGGATTTGTCTGAGGGAGGGGCTGAAAGAAGAGATCCTAATAATCCCTTGCAGTGGAAGATGAGGAACCCAGGGGCAAGACTGGGAGTGAAGCCCTTCTAGAACATGTCCTCACAATGAGTAATAGTAAGAGTAATAATAGTAATGGCAGTAACAAAACTGGCATCTGCAAGCAGCAAACACATTTCTAAGCGCTTTTATATATTTATTTAATCCTCACAAAACTCCTCTATGTAGATACTGTTATCCCCACTTTACAAATGATGGAACTGAGACATAGAGAAGTTGAGTAACCCCCCTTAAATCACATAGCCAATAGGTGGTGGGGCAGGGCTTTGAACCCAAGCACGTGGCTCTCCAGTCTGTGCTTGTGATCACTACCTTTTCCCGTCTCTCTGGAGAAACGGGCCTGAAGTGAATTCCTCCTGCAGGGTCTGGAGCGTGAGGCTTGTGTGACAGGATCTGGAACTTTGGGGGTATCTGGGAATGATGATTGCTGCTGTACTGACGCCCTAGAAAGGGAGATGGTGCAGGGAAGGGTGCGGTCAGGCAGTGGGTCGGCCTCTGTGCACCAGGGGGTGAGGAGAAAGGGAGTCACCATTTAACCCTGAGTAACTGAGTGCTGTGGGGTCAGTGGGAGTGTGTTCTCCTGTGTTATAAACAGCAATCCAGAAACAGCTGCTTGAGTGGGGGTGGGGGGTCCCCCTGGTGTCAACATAGAAACTTGACTCCATTTCTCTTGCCAGTGTCTCTTCCTGTGGAGCATGGGTGATGGCTGTCCTCCTCCCACTGTTTCTTTGTCTCACGTTGGGCTGGGTCTGATACTGTTTGCCAATAAAATTGGAGCATTGCCCCATGTCTGCCAGTCATTATGAAACGTCCAGGTCCCCAGCACTACCTTCTTTCTTTCTTTTTTATTTTAGCACAATCTTATTTCTAATTTACACCTTCCCTTCAGCAAACTAGTGTTGTTCTTTGCTCCACCTCAGATCTGAGGATTAAATTCAAAGTGCAACCTGCTTTTACTCTTAAATGCTTATAGGTATTTTGATGTATCGGTTTTACATCTGTATGCAGTCAGATCTCTCATTCTTTGCCTGTATAGTTTCTGCCTTTGGTGATGAGCTGAGGAAGTCCATTTGAAATGTATTTATTTTTATGTAAGGAGTTATTCCTGCTTTAGGGATCCACAAGCTACTGGGACAGTTTTTCTCTAGATTCTCAAAAACCTACTTGCCATCTGACTTCATGTCATCTGACACGGTGCCTGGCACATGGTAGGCCTCAACAAACAGGTATTTCCTGAGTGAAAGATGAATGAACCCCTATGCCCCCGTACCCCTGAAGAAGAGAGAGAAGAAAAATGGACTTACGTGTGAAGTGTGGGTCTAACTTATTTCCACTGGTTAACCTGCCATCCTGACTGCATTTGTGGTGATAGAAAATGCCATCTTTTGCCATATTATTTCCTATGTTGTACCTGAGACTTTTTCTGGGCCCACCTTGTGACAGCATGCGTTCTGGGTTCTGTGTTTCTTTACAGTGTGAATGTTTCAATCTTTTCTGTATTGAATGACTTACCATTACCATCCAAGAGGGAATTTGTGTTTCTTTATGGGGTCTGGTGAAAACAGAAGGGGGTGAATAAAGAAAACAGTTCTTCATTAGAGGCTAAAAACCAACCAACAAACTGCCACCAGCACCACAACCAAAATAGCAAAGTAAAATGGAGAGGATCTTCATTGTTTTAGGGACAGGGGAATAAGGCAGCGGCTGTCCTCTGTTCCCAGTGGGCTGGGAAGGAGTGAACCCCTGATCATGGACAGTCATTGGTGCTTGTGCAAAAGCAAACAATAAGGCTAACATTCAGAGTCCCCTGAAGAAAGTAATAGGGCTAGGTAAGTGTCACCTGGAATGGGAAAATCATGCCCAAGGGGGTTTTGAAAAACTGAACCTACAGATTTTTGTCCTTGAACCTCCTGGAACTTCCCATGCACTGCTTCTCTTCTCTGTTCTGTCTCTCTCTGTTTCATATCATGTAATGTCTCTAGACCTGGCCACGGGAGTCATTTTGGCCCAGGATTGGACTGAGCAGGACCAGCTCCATTACTCATCACATGAGGGGAAGGGAGGCCCTTGCTTCTTGAGTGAAGAAGGCTCCCAGTATCCCACATTGCCATTCTCAGTGCATGTTTACCAGGAAAGTTGGTCTAAACCGTAGTCAGTTTCCGTATTATTATTACTACTGGACTGAGGAATAGGACTCAAGTAGTGTGTAATAGAATCATCCATGAAGCTTATTAAATGGCAAACTATGAGCCCACCTCTAGATTGTGACTGAGTAGTTTGGGATAGGGCTCACTAATCTGAATTTTATCAAATGACTAACATGATTCTGCAGTCCACAGACCACACTTTGAGAAGCATTTGCTACTGTCATCATTGGCTTTCTGAAGGAGGCCAGACTCCTTGACCTAG